CAGCCCTACTGTCCATGAACTTGCTGTGTGCCTCCAGGGAGGTCACTTGACATCTCTGAGCTCAGTTATCTCATGTCTCAAGTGGCTCTGGCATCTGTCAGAATGTTAAAATCTGTTAAAAATGCCTTAAAACCTTGTGATGCTAGCACCTCTCTGTGGGTTTTTCTCAATATAACCTCAGAGAGCGGAGGAGGTGGGGAGAACAGAGGCCCTGGGAGGAGGAGAAAAGGGAAAGTGGGTGATTCAGTCCAGGCTGTCGCACTTTGCTTCAAACACTTTCATCTTTCTCTGCAGGTCCCTCTTTCCTCTCCCTCCTCCCCTTGTCAGATGGTTGATGAGGATCCCTGGGATGGTTAGGAAGGCAGAGGGGGGGACTGAGCAGTGGGTAGGAGGTGAGGCCAGGTCCTCCAGGCCAAGCAGAGGGGTCCTTAACCAATGGACAGTGGGAGACAATCTGATGGACATGGGCGGCAATGCAGAGGGCCCACACTTTACGTAACCAGCTCCATCCCGATGATTCCAGGCTTTTGCATAACAGATGCTTCTCTGGTGCGTGCGCGTGTGCATATACACGCACACACACGCACACACACACACACGCACACACACACACACACAAACACAAGAATTCGTTCTCAGGAAGAGCAATGCTGCTGTCAAAGGGCGTCTGATTGATGGCCTCTACTTCTCGCCAGAGCTGGTGGCTTCTACTCCCTGCAGCCCTGACCCTCCAGATCCCTGCCATCTGACCTGTGAGCCATGGCCTCATTGGGGTTTTACTGGCAGTCTGCATTATAGGTGAGATCAAGCATCTTTTCGTGTTTCCTTTGTCCTTTCTTCCTTTGTCCTGTGAACTACCTGTTTTTCTCTTAGCGCTTGGGTGCTTGGGGGAAGTCTGCAGTGTTCTAGGACCTCCTGCCTGTTCCTGCTCACCCAGCACCCCTAAGGATACAGCACTGTGGATTCTCTGAGCATCAGTAAACACCGTGGATGGGCGCCGTTCAGGTGTCAGAGAGCCCACAGTACGCGAGAGAGGCCCTCACCCACACAGGGCGGCGGCGAAGTGGCATTCACTGAGCTCAGCCTCGTGCCCGCCAAGGCACAAGTCTTGGCATATGGGGGAGGGGGGAAGCAGTCTCTGCCGGGATGGGGGGGCGCGTTTGTCTTTTAACGTTTGCTCCCTGTCTGACTCATTTTAGAGGGTGCCGACAGGAAACGATGGAGACATTTTGCATAAACATCCACTGGAAGCTCCTCTAGGGAACCCCAGCTGCACCCCCCCTAGCACCTGCCTCTCCCCGTGTTTCAGGCGAGCTGTAAGGTCTCATCCAGAAACCCAGGGACCCTCAGCAATGCAAAGGGAGGCCTGCCACGGCTGTGGAAGTCCGAGGGGCAGCTCGGGTACCAGGAATCCCGCAGACTCGCCAATGGCAATGCTTCATGTGATTTCTCTAGAATGGCTTGTGATTTAGCCTACCGGGACAGGATGCAGAGCTAACTCCGCCTCTCTCACATGGCTCGTTTTATAGTAAGTGCTCAAATGACTGTTGAAAGAATAAATCACTAACACCTGTCTAACTGTCCCCTCCCTTTAGTCCAGAAGTGGCTAAGGAAGTCCAGATTGGCTCCATGTGCTGGGCTGACAAAGTCCACTTCTTCACAGCCCCTGTCAGCTTTCTAAAGCCTCTTTCTTTGGCCCTGGAAACTAGGGTTGCCAAATAAAAGACAGGCAGCCCAGTTCGATTCAAATTTCAGAGAAACAATCAATAATTATGATTTTAGTATGCGTCCTAACTGCATGGGGTAGTACACATTGGATATGCTTCCCATAGCTGCTGTAGCAAATGGCCACAGATGAATCACTTCACATAACAGGAATTTGGGCCAGCAGGTGGCATGGTGGTTAAGGCACTGGATTCCCACATGGCCGACTGTGGTTCGAGTCCAGGTGGGTTGAGGGTTAAGAGAGCTGGATCTCACATGGCTGATTGTGTGATTCAAGTCCCAGAAATGGTGGCTTGAAAAACATGTCAGGCATGTGTGCATGTGTGCCCAAAATCCCAAGAGGAGAGTGGTGGAGAAGGGATTGTGGTATAGCCATCACCCTGGGAGGTGATTTCTCACCTTCTCACTCTCTTTCTCTTTCTCTTTCTCTCTCCAATGAGCACATAAGCGCAATAGTAAGAGTTTAAAGAGAGAGAGAGAGAAAGAGAGAGAGAGAGAGAGAGAAATGTTTAAAAACCCAGAAATTAATTTTCTCACAGTTCTGGAGGCTGGCAGTCCAAAATCAGTTTCAGTGGGTGGAAATACAGATGTCAGTAGGACCACATTCCTCAAGTGGCTCAAATGGAGAATCTGCTCTCTCACCTCTTCCCGCCTCAGTGGCTGCCAATGACCCTGGGCTGTGGCCTGTCACGTGGTCTCTGCCTCTACTGTCACAGTGTCTTCTCTTCTGTGTTTTAACTGTCTTCTGCCTCACTCTTATAAGAACACATGTGTGCACATCAAGGACCCCCGAGACAACATGGGATAATCTCATCTCCAAATCCTTACTTTAATCACATCTGCGATATCCCTTTTCCAAAGTGAGATACGTTTACAAGTTTTACGGATCAGGACCTGATATCTTAGGGGGATGGAGCCTACTACACTTCCACTAAGAAAAATACTTCTTTACCTGAAATCCAAATGTCACTAGACACCCTATGTTTTAATTTGCTTAGTCTTTTCATTTTCTAATTGCCAGAGAGCGTGTGTGCTCACTGGAGAGAGATGGAGAGATGGGGAGGGTATCCCCCCTATGGGGCACGGTCACGGTGCAATCCCTCCTCCTCCGTTGATCCATCCTGCTGGGATTTTGGATGTTCAAGTGCATGTGCCCGTGTTTTCCAAATGACTAGGGCAGGAATTGAACTGTGGTCGCCATGTGGGACCTGACTTCCTCTACCACTGGGACTTGGGACTGGCTCAACTAAGGCTTTTATTTTATTATTATTATTTTTTTTAAAGTTTCTTTCTTTCTTTCTTCCATGAGTGAGAGAAAAAAAAAAAAAAAACTCAACAGGGTCTTGACCCCATGATTACCGCCTCCCCCAGCCTTCAGCCAGCACCAGCTCATAGGCAAGCTGGTTCCTGGTGAACACGGGGAGATCTCTGGACTTGAACCACAAACCTTCCCATGTGGGACTGTTTCACAGGACATCCCACTTTGCCACTGTGCTGCTGTCTGGCTCCTAGTTCGGTAAATCCCAAAGCCCTACCTGAGACTGCAGCTACTGGAGGACCGCAGGGGCTGAAGTGACTCACCGTGAAACACTCAGCTTCCCCCACCCTCGGAATGTGTGCAGGGCCCTGTCGGCAGACCCAGCCCTCCTTGTCAAGTCCTGTAGTCTCGGCAGTGGGGCTCACGATTTACAACAGCATTCTGGTTTACAGGAGACTCTAAAGGCACCTGACTTCACTTTTTAAAAGGTTGTGACAGGGACCAGCTGTTGGTGTAATGGCTGTGTTGCTGGACTCTATGTAGTGGACCATGATTCGAGTCCCGGACCCAGTGGCTTAAATTCACATCAGGTGCGTGTGTGTGCATGCCCGAGATCCCAAGAGGAAAATGGAGAAGGGATTGCAGCATGGCCATCCTCCTGCAGGGTGACTTCTCACTTTCTGTCTCTGTTTTTCTGGCAAGCGCACGTGCCCTATAGCAAAAACCTCTCAAAAAAAACAAAAAAAAAAAAAAAAAAAAAGATTGTGACAAACAGTGCTTCTATTTCTACGTCAGCGCTCAAAACTTCACACTCAGGCCTGTTCCCTGCACCCTCCGGGGTGGAGGAAGGATGAACAAATAAGTTACGCATCTGTTTCCTCTCCTGCGAAAGGCCGTAGGCTTCCACCACTAATGGATCCACTCACTCATCCACTCATTTGTCCACTGAACACTCTCCACGCTACTTCTGAGCCCCACACTCTGCCAGACACTGAGGACACAGAACGGCGCTCAGCGGATGGCGAGCTGGGGAGCCCGGTTCCCTAGGGACCCTGAGAGTGGGATCATTAAAAGCTGTGGAAATTAAACACAAATAAGGGATGCCAGTAATTGAGCAGAAAATTTCAATCTATTTGATTTGAAACTAGAGAGAAACTCAGTTAATTTATCAGCTATCTTTAAATTCTCACAACTATGTGTAGAAAAAGGAACTTGTATTACAAGATGTGTAACTTAACCGCGTCTGCCTTAACCAAATGGGGCCTTCTCTTCCCATGTGTTCTGGAGCCCTGGAAATGGGGGTGAGCTGGAGGCCCGTCCTCTGCCTCCTCCTGCTGGCAGGCAGACACCACTCAGAGATGCCATCTCCGGGGAGCTCCGTGTGGGACCTACAGCCCCTGCCCCTCCCTGGTGCAGCCCAGAGCAGGCAGCTGGGGCTCAGCGACATCTCTTCTGCGCATGGCCATTCCTTTTCCTGCGACTAGAGCCTGAGGAGCACTGGTTTACACCCCCCAATCACACCTTCTGCTGAAAAGTTTTGTTTTAAAGGAAAAATCACTCAAGAGGCCCAGCAGCTGCACAGCAGTGATCCTCTTCAAGGCTGACCCACATGGGAAGGTTCTGGGTTCGCATCCAGAGACCCTCTTGCACACAGCGAGGGGTGGAGTGTGTGTGCCCAGCATTCGGGGCTGGCTGAAGCTGGGGGTGGGTCGTGGCATCAAGATTCTGTTGGAGTGCTATCCCTCTGTCTGTTTCTGTCTTTCTCACATATGGAAAAAAATACATAAACTTGAAATAAAAATTTAAAAAATACTGTGACCAACAGGTGGCATAGTGGATGAGGCGTTGGACTCCCACATGGCAGGCCACGGTTCAAGTCCTGGGCCTGGCTTACTTTCTCACTTCCTCTCTCTCTCTCTTTCTCTCTGTTTAGGTTAAAAGAGATGAATGAATGAATAAAATTAAATAAGTAATTCTTTTTGAAAAAGTACTCTGTTTACTTCTTCCTTTTTTTTTTTTGAATATGGAATGCTTCACGAATTTGGGTGTCATCCTTGCCCAGGGACCCTGCCAATCTTCTCTGTATTGTTCTAATTTTAGTGTATGTATCTTTTTTATTGCTAGAGGGCATGCACACTTGCCAGAGAGAAGGAAAGAGAGCAAGAGAGAGAGGGAAAGCACTGCCACTGGGGGTGGTCATGCTACAACCCCCCTTCCTTCGTTCCGCCTTTGTGTCAGGGTTTTGGGCACACATGCACGCGCATGTGTCTTGGGTGTTACTCAGGCTGCTGTGGCTGGGATTCCAACCACAGCTGGCCATGTGGGATCCAGCTCTGTACACATAGCATTTGACCACTGTGCCTTAGGCCTGGCCCTGTTCATCTATTTATCGTACAGTAGGTACAAGCTGAAATTTCAGGACTCTGCACTATTGAAATTCCTTTCTTTCTTTGTCATAGGGGAAAAGACAGAAGACTTTCTTCAATATTTTTTTTAAGAGACAGATTTTTACTATAGGGCGCATGACCTTGCCAGAGAGACAGAAAGTGAGAAATCACCCCACCCCCCCAGGGGGGATGGCCATGTCGCAATCCCTTCTCCTCCCGTCTCCTCTCCGGATCTTGGGCACACATATGCACCCAGCATGAGTTTGAAGCTGCTGGGTACAGGACTTGAACCATAGTCCAGCAACATAACCATTATACCACCCGCTGGTCCCAGAAAGCTCTCTTCTTTACCTCCTACTCAGGCATGGCATTTTAAAGAATGGTAGGACCCCCTCGGGCCAAAGTAATGAATGGACAAACAAACCAGGGGTGGAAAAACCAGCGTGAACCTGTGCTGTGGGCAGCCCATGTTCCAGAAGCAGAAGACCTGGATTCAAGCCAGCTGTGTGAGTTCAGAGAGATCCCTGAACTTTCCCGAATTCCACTCAGCCTTCCTGAAGCCCAACATCCTAATCTGTGAAAGAGGCTCGTGTTGAGAATTCATTGAGATACTTGATCTGAAGAACTTGCTATTTGTTAGTAATCTGAGGAATGGGCAGCCCTGCCAGCACCCTGAACTCTCATCATGCAGGGTCCCCAAATGGGAGGCCACCCCGTGCCTACTTGTTTAAGGTGCCCCCACGTTACTCCCCTCTTCCAAACACCTGGAGGTCGACATCCAAGTAGGATGCTGTCTAGTGAGCAGTGGAGAGAGGCCCCCTGCCCAGCCTCTGATTTTGCATCCAGAGCTGTGTGCAAAGGTGCCCCCACTCTGCAGCTCCCCCTGGGGTCTATGGGTGCTAAGCAGGTCTGTGCTCAGGGTTGACCAGCCACGTTTTATCCAATAGCTCCATATTTTAGTTTGGGATGCTTTTAAGAGTTAAGAACTACTTGGGCCAGCCAGGTGGCACGGTGGTTAAGACAGCTGGATTCCATATGGCCAACTGCACGGTTGGAGTCCCAGAACCAGCAGCTTGCAAAACATGGTGGGTGCGTGTATGTACATGCCCAAAATCCCAAGAGGAGAATGGAGGAGAAAGGACTGTGGTGTGGCCATGCACCCTGGGGGGTACTTTCTCACTCTCTCTCTCTCTGGCAAGCATACGTGCCCCTATAGAAAATTAAGAAAAGAAGAAGAAGAAGAAAAAGGAGAAGAAGAAGAAGAAGAAGAAGAAGAAGAAGAAGAAGAAGAAGAAGAAGAAGAAGAAGAAGAAGAAGAAGAAGAATTATTATTATTATTAAGAACCACTCACTACTGGTTCTACCCTGACCAGCTGTAGGGTTTGAGTCCCAGACCTGGAGGCAGGTGGATGTGCATGTGTGCTCAAAATCTGGAAAGGAGAATGGAAAACAGATTGCAGTGTGGACCTTCCCCCTGGGGGATAATTTTTCACTTTCCCTTTCTCTCTCTCTCTGTCTCTAATGAGAGCGTTGCCCTATAAAAATACTGAAAAAAAAAGAAAAAAAAAAAAGAACTACTCACTGCTCAACTGGAATATAATTTATAGATCAAAATAATCTGTCTCCCCACCTCCCCTGCAAATAAACAACAAAACAGAATCTGGGGTGGAAACTCACATATGGTCCTTTGGTTTATAGCTAGTGATTTCTTTAAAATGCTGGGGAGAAAGTGGGCAGCGAGAACAGAACTGAGAAATGACTCTTGTTTTAGAGAGAGGGAGGGTGGCTGGGAAGTGTATTTCAATGCCATAAAGTGCCCAGTGAGATTGCAAATTCAAAGGGGTGTGATATGCATAACCCTGGCCTGTCTCCCTTCCCCCCTTTTCCTGGTCCCAAAGTGTGAACCACATTGGCGCAGACTGGGGAAAATGGAGCGGCTTGTTAATAAGGGAGATCAGGCGGCATGGCCCAGCAGGCCGGATAATGCAGGCTCAGTCCTCCCTCTCCCCGCTCTCACTGTGACCCTTTTTCCCAGCAGCAGAGGGCTTGCTTTGTCTGCCTTGCCCGGGAAACCACCCCACTTTTAAGTAAATTTCTCCCGTGGATGCTGCCTGGGAGGCCAGACATCACCTTTCCTGAGCTTACACGCCAGGCTGCTCCCGTCCACATTTCTAGCCTCTGAAAGTGCGATGGATGTGACCGTTTTTCATGCTTTACATGAGCTGGGAGAAAAATGAGCTTCTCTATTTGATGAGTGTGGACTAATTTGGGTTCTGCCGTCACCTGCAACATGAAGTCGCAGCCTGGTTTAGAGGTTTGCTTTCGGTTTAAAATAATTTTCTCCAGGCTCAAGTTACAGATGACCCATTCGGGGAGGCTGGAGGGCACGGCTTCTTGGGCCCTTTGCATTAAAGATGGTTGGTCGACTCCTCCATCGGTGGCTTAGAAAGTGGAACAGACCGGGAAGTTCTAAGGGTGGGGAGGCAGCAAGACGAGGGACTGAGGCAAATCAGACCCTCCCCAGCTGGGAGAGCTCTGAGCTTCACTTTGCTCCTCTACAAAATGAAGTTGATAATCCTGGCCTCCTCAGAGAATAGGATTAAACGAGGCACTATTTTTAGTAAATAAAATAATAGCAACCTGCTGAGGGTATTCCACATGTGTGTATAGCAAACGAATATGACGGATGGTCTGAAGTAGGGCACAGTGACAATTGCAGGATATTTTAAAGGGAATACGGTTTTCATGCTCTTCAAGTAAATAGAGTGATGGACTGGTAGGCAGAGAACTTACTTTATTTAAATAGGTAAAATCCATCTAACTGCATTATTCAAGAGTCTTTTTTTTTTTTTAAATTAAAAAGATATTTTCTCGGGACCAGCAGTTAGCGTAATGGCTATGTCGTTGAACTCCCATGTAGCTGACTGCGGTTCGAGTCCTGGACCCGGTGGCTTAAACTCACGCCGGGAGTGTGTGTGTGCGTGCCCAAGATCCCGAGAGGAGAATGGAGGAGAAGGGATTGAGGCATGGCTATTCCCCCTGGGGGGGGATTTCTCACTTTCTATTTCTCTGTCTCTCTCTGTCTTTCTGGCGAGTGCAAGTGCCCTATAGCAAAAACCTCTCAAAAGAAAAAAGATCTTTTCTCTTTTTTTATCTGCTAGAGGGTGTGTGCACTCACTGGAGAGATAAAGTGGCAGAGCACACCCCAGGGAGGATGGCCACACTGCAACCTTTTCTCCCCCACTTCTCTCTACTTTCCAGATTTTGAGCATGCCTGCCAATACACCTGGAGTGTTTTTTAAGCATTCGAGTCTGGAACTTGAACCTTGAAATCAGTCACATGGAATCTGGCCGCCTTAACCACCCTGGCACTGACTGGCCTGTGTCAGTGTTTTGAGCTGTGTGTGTGCCCTGCTCTGTGACCGGACACACACGCAGGGGGAGCAGGAAAGCCACATAAGGTAGTCCTACCCACTGAGGACGTACAGCCTGTGGGGAGATGAGTCCCAGTGACAAAGCACGACAATTGAGCATTAGTCACTGTGGCCTGAGCATGGCGGATCCTCCCCCGATGGGGCAGGACGGGTAACAATGATGTTCTGGGGAGGATGTGGCGTGGTAAGCAAATGGCTTGGATGTAGACTTGGACTGAACTTGGGACCCACTCATTGTTTCCACGAAGAGCCAAGGTGGGGTGACAAGGCATACACCTGTTTCAGCACTGGAGGGAAAGGACCGGAAGGGAAGGGGCAAATCGAAGCAATGTTTGGGAGCCACTGTCCTTAGATCTGTTCCAGGATGCAGAGGGAGGAGACACCCCTGAGACTCCGAGTTTTGCCACACCACTGCCTGGAAGATGGCCGGTTCCATGACAGAAGTGGAGGGGACTAGGTGGAAATGAGAGTGGCTTTAGGGGTACCAAGGACAATGATGTGAGGCCTCTAGATGCCAGGGCCAGAGCTCAAGCCTGCTGTGAAGCAGAGCAGATTGGCCACGTGGTGGTGGGCACATGCCACGTGTGCACACGACACTTCCATGTCCAGAGCTTGAGAAGCCCTCAGATCCCAGGGCATAGGCACTCGAGCTCGGCTCCAGCTCAATTCTGATTCCAAGTGTGAGCCATTCAATTAGCAAGCCTTCACCATCCCTCTTGCCACAGAGCAGCTCAGAGTACCACACCATCAAAGTCAATGCCCAGCTGTAACTTAATCACGCTCGCCTTAATCAATTCCTGTCACAGGCTAAGCACCGTGAGTGGTGGGGAGAGGCTGCCCCTGGGCATAATTAGAGTATGGGATTCTGTGCCATGTCCCTGTGTGATTAGGAGGAAACCGAAAACCCAGAGGAAAACAGAAAAGCTCCCAGGAAATTCCATCTCAGGGTCACAACAAGACCCAAGGAGGAAGTTCCAGCTCCTCCCTGGAGAAGTCAGCACCGGCAGGAACTGGAAATCACTTGAGGTCATACTAAACTGTCCTTACCCACTGCTCTGCACCCGGGCTCTGGGTCGCCTTATTTTAAAGGGGACAGAGAGACCGGTACAGGCTGGACTGCGACTGCCTGTCCATCCATCTACCCTGGGCACTATCCTTGCTGATTGAGCTCGCGCCCTGGAACCAGCTGCCCTGTCTGGCAGGTTTGGGGGAGGGAGGTGGCAGCAGCTAGCTATGCTATTTCAGGTGTCAGGCCCTGCTCAGCGCACAAGAGACTTCAGATCAGGCACCTGACGATGTG